CTCCGGCGCTCGGGACCACCGCAACGCCGCGGGGACGCCGCCGGGGAGCCTCGAGACCTGGCTCCTGCTGCGCTCGCTGCGCACGCTCCACCTGCGCGTCGCCGCCCAGTCCGCCACGGCCCTCGACCTCGCGACGTACCTGGAGACGCGCGGCGACCTCGGCGTCCGATCCGTGCGCTACCCGGGCAGGACAAGAGAGCGAAATTCCCAACTTCAAAGCCTCACATCTCGGCCGTATTCCACTCGTTTCGGCTGATTTTTGGACGAGCGATCATCTCTTGGAACGGTCTCGAAGCGTGGATGCTTTTTCCGGGACGCGCGCGCGCGGAACACTCACGTTGAAGCGACGTTGAATCTCTCTTGTCCTGCCCAGGTGCGCTACCCGGGCCTCGGGCCGTCCGCGGCGCTCGCGGCGCGCCAGATGGCCCACGGCGGCGGCGTGTTCGCCATCGAGTGCCGCTCGGCGACCGCGGCCCAGGCGCTGCCGGCGACGCTGCGCCTCTTCCGCGACGCGACGTCGCTCGGCGGCGTCGAGTCGCTCGCGGAGTGGCGCCGCAAGTACGACGACGACGTCTCGCCCTACCTCGTCCGCCTCTCCGTGGGCCTCGAGGACGCCGCCGACCTCAAACGCGACCTCACGGAGGCCCTCGAGACGCTCCAGGCGCCCGCGTACGACGACGTCGGCGCGTAACTTGAACGGCAAGTTGTACTCGTTGAAGGTGGCGAGGTGGGCCATCGCAGTCTGCGATGGCCGTCTTCGACCCGCAGGCGCGCCTGGCCCTGCGCGACACGCATGTCCTGTGCCTCGAGGTGCAGGAGCCCTGGGCCGCGGCGCTCGTGCGCGGCACGAAGACGATCGAGACGCGGCGCTACGCCCTGCCGGCGTGGGCGCGCGGCGTCGACGTCGTCGTGCTCGAGACGCCGCGCGGCGCCGCGAACGCGTCGTCGCTCGGCGAGTCGCCCGCCGCCGCCGCGGGCACATTGGTCGGCGTCGTCGTCTTCGGCGACTCCGTGCGCTACGGCGACGAGGCTCGGTGGCGGCAGGACGAGCCGTTCCACCGCGTCGCCGCGGGGTCGCCCTACGACTGGGACGGCGGCGAGAAGCACGGCTGGGTCGTCGCGTCCGCGCGCGCCGTCGCGCCGCTGCCGTCGCCGCCGCTCGTGCGCAAGTTCCGGAGCTTCTACGAGCCCGTCGCCGGCGCGACGCTCGACGGCCCGAGCGGCGGCGCCTTCGCCGTCGTCGCCGGCGGCCGGACCGCCGAGTTCTCGCTGGCGTCGATCCGGGGCCGGCCGTCGGTGCCCGTGCCGTCGGGCAAGCACAAGGACAAGCTCGCCGCGTCCGTGTCGGCCGTGATCAGCATGTGCCCGGACGCGTGGAAATCAACCAGTGAGCTGGGACGTCGGGGCCAAACTTCAGAACTCTCTATCTCGGCCAATTCGAAGTCGATTCGGCTGATTTTTGGACGAATCGATTGCTCTCGTCGAGTTCTCGAAGCACAGCCGAAGATCTTGCGTCGAAACTGTCACATCTGCGCACATTGAAGTCGGGTTGAAGATTTGATTTCCACACAGGTGCCCGGACGCCATGTTCGCCGCGACGCTCACATTCGGCTCGGGCGTCTTCACCGCCGCGGACAAGGTCTCGACGAAGCCCATCCCGCGCGAGGACCTCCTCAGGGGCTTCCTCTGCCACGGCGAGGCCAGCGGCGAGCCGCTCGCGAGCGGCGGGCCCCTGCGCCTCGCGCACCCGGACGGCGTCGCCGTCCAGTGCGGGCCCTGCGGCAGCGACACGCCCGCGGACCTCAAGAACGTCGTGCGCCTCGAGCTGCTGCCGTAAACAGCGGCGTGAGGTGAAGGTTGATGGAGGCTCGGTCTCTCGAGGTTCAAGGTTGAAGGCTTGTTGATGCCTAGTTGTACTGAGCTCTTGTGGCAAGCGACGCCGGCAGCGTCGTCGAGCCGCTCTCCGAGTGATGCGTTTGAGCCTCGCACGCCGCGGCATGCGCCGCGCCGGCGGCCAGTCGCTCAACCGCGCGGCCATCCTCACGACGCTCAACATCATCTTCCGGCGCCCGGGCCTCCTCGTGCCGCACGTGTCGGTGCCGCATCTCGGCGACCTCGACTTTTTGTCGCTGAAAGCGAGCGGCGTCGAGTACGTCGTCCTCGACAAGGACAACACGCTGACGGCGCCCTACGACGACGACGCGCCGCCGCACCCGCTCGTCGCGGCCGCCGCGCAGAGCGCCGTCGACATCTTCGGCGCCGAAAAGGTCGTCGTGCTGTCCAACTCCGCGGGCAGCGCCGACGACGCGGGCTTCGCCGCGGCCGAGGCCTGCGAGGCGGCGCTGGGTCTGAAGGTCGTGCGCCACCCGGCGGAGAAGAAGCCGCGGTGCCTGCCGGAGCTCCTCGCCGCGCTCGGCGCGGACGACGCGAGCCGCGTCGCCGTCGTCGGCGACCGCGTCACGACGGACGTGCTCTTCGCGAACCTCCACGGCGCGCTCTCCGTGCACACGGCGCCCCTGACGACCGAGGGCGACAACCGCGTCGCCGCGGCCTGCCGCGCCGCGGAGAACGCGGTGCTCCTGCCCGCGCTCCGGCGCCTCGGCGCGCGGCCGCCGCGCCACGACGCGCTCGCGGACCTCGTCCACACGCAGGCCGGCGTCGTGCGGAACCCGCGGTGGTAAAAGTTAGCGCTTCGCCCGCTTGAGGATGTCGCCGAGGCGGTCGAGCGCGCCGGCGGGTTTCCGTTTCGAGTTTCGCGCGGGCGGCGGCGGCGTCGGGCTCCGGCGCGACGGCGCCACGGCCTCGGCACGGCGCAGGGGCTCGAGGCCCGCGGCCGCGCGGCTGCGCGCGCTCAGCGCGAAGTCGGGCATGGCCGGCCGCGGCGCGCGCTTCGCGCGGGGCGCCTGCGGCCGCGGCGCCTTCGGCGCCGCGGCGAGCCGCGTCACCACGAGCGTCGGCGCGCCGCCGGCCGTGCGCACGGTGTAGGCCAGGTCGTGGCCGTACCTCGCGTCGATCTCGTCCATGACGTGGCGCCGGCCGCGCCAGCCGTCGTCGCAGCGAAGCTCGAGGTCGCCGTCGTCGCCGGCCGCCCAGTCCCGCAGCCTCACGCAGTCGCCGCAGCCGCAGTCGCCGCTCCGGGCCGCGCGCCGCGGCACGCGCGCGTCGAAGGCGCGCATGGGCGCCGCCTCCGCCGCCGCGCCGCGCCGCGCGGTCCGCGCGGCGACGCGCCTCGCGTCCCAGGCCGCGCCTTTCGTCGCCAGCTCGTGGTCGCCGCGCCACGCGTCGCAGTCGCGCGCGCTGACGTCGCAGACGTAGCAGAAGCACTTGCGGCAGCCGCCCTCGGCGCAGTCGAAGGAGAAGTGGGGGAGCACCGTGGCGTTGCTGCTGCCGACGAACTGGACCTCGTCCTCGTCATTGTCGGCGTCCTGGACGGGCTCGATGGCGCGGCCCAGCCGGAACGCGGCGCAGGGGTCCAAGGACTCGGCGAGCACGCGCTCGGCGACGCGCTCCGTCTCCGCGAAGTCGGAGAGGTCGGTCATTGATCCGTGATCAGGGCAGGGCGTCCATCACACTCCTGCTTCACCACTCCTTCAACCGCCGTTCAACTTGCCTTCGAACCTCCACGTTAGTCCGCCGCCCCGATGGAGCGGAAGTGCTCGCGCATGATGGCGTTGAGGGCGTAGATCTCGGCCCGCCGCCGCTCCTTGGCGCGGAGCTCCATCTCGCGGCGCATGGACACCTCGCGCTTCTTCGCCTCGAGGGCCTGGGCGAGGGCCTCGCGGTTCGCGACCTGGATTTTCTGGTTCTCGACGGCGCGCTTCGCCGCCTCGGCGCGCACGGCCTCGATGTCCAGGTGCGCGTAGCGCGCGCGGCGCTTTCGGTCCTCGGCGTCGCGCGCGCCGCTCGCGCGCGCGAGGCGCCGCCGGTGCTCGGCGATGCGCTCGACGGCGCGCGCGCGCTCGCGCTCGACGTCGACGCGCACGGCCGTCGCCCGCGACGACGCCGATCCGTCGCCGGCGCCGCGCGTCGCGAGCGCGAAGGTCTTCGACCAGAGCTTCGCGCCGGTCGCGCGCCCGGCGCGCCGCCCCGGGGGCTCCTCGCCAGGGGCGGCGCGCTCAGGGGCACGGGCGGCAGGGGCCGCCCGCCGCCGGGGCTCGCGGTCCGCGGCGCGCCGCCGCCGCCGCCGCCGCGCGGCCGCCCGTCGGGCGTCGGGCTCGCGGGCAGCAGCGGCGTCGCCGACGACGCCGACCCGCTCCGCGCGGGCAGGGTCTGGCTCGCGCCGCCGAGCTTGAGGAGCCGGCTCCGCGGCGGCTCGGAGCTCGCGCGCCGCATCGCGGGCGCGCGCGCCGCGGGCGACGCGGACGCCGCGCCCGGCGACGGCGCGAGCTGGGACCGCGGCGACGGCGGCGGCCGGGCCAGCTGGCGCGGCCGGGGGGCGGCGGCGTTCGCGGCGAGGCGCCGGAGCGCCTTGGACGACGGCTTGGACGCCACGGGCCGGAGCCGCTTCGACTCGACGACCATCGACGGCGCGCCGCTCGTGCCCATGGCGCAGATCGGCGCGCCGATGATCATCGTCGGTTGGCGGGCGGCCGCCGACGAAACAGGCGCCCGCGACGACGACCGGACGCTGCCCGTGCCAGCACCAGAGCGGCTGGGCAGCCCCTCTAACCCCAAGAAAACGGCAAGGCATCATGGTGAAGGTGCATCGTGAAGGTGCCGTTTTGGCTCGAGGTGTGGGCGCAAATAACTCTCGGGCGCCGCGGCTGCGTGCGGCCGCGCAACCTCGGCGCCGCGTCGCGGCCAGCGGCCTCGCGCAGCGATGGCGAGCCTCTTCAACTTCGCGACGCCGGTCCCCGCGGAGGAGCCGTCGCCGGCGCGGTCGCCGGAAACGACCCTGGGCCCCGTGCGCGCCGTCGAGGAGGAGATGATCGTCGCGGCGCAGGAGGAGGACGGCGGCCGCCCCGTCGTCGCCGACGGCGACTTCGAGCGGTTGAGCGTGCTCGGCGTGGGCTCCTTTGGCAAGGTCGTCCTCGCGCGGCACAAGGCCACGGGCGCGCGCTACGCGCTGAAATTGATCGCGCTGAGCCGCCTGACGCTGCGGAAGCAGCTCGAGCGGACGCAGCTCGAGCGCGACGTGCTCGCGGGCCTCGAGCACGCCTTCATCGTCAAGCTCCACTTCGCCTACCGCGTGCCGGGCCACGTCGTCTTGGTGTTCGAGTACTGCGCGGGCGGCGAATTATTTCACCACCTCTGCGCGAAGCGGGTCCTGGGCGCCAAGGCCGTCGCGTTCTACGTCGCGGAGCTCGCGCTCGCGCTGCAGTGCGCCCACGACCACGGCGTCGTCTACCGGGACGTCAAGCCCGAGAACTGCTTCCTCGACGCGCGCGGCCACCTGAAGCTCGGCGACTTTGGCCTCGCGAAGACGGGCGTCTTCCACGCGACGACGGGCGCGCACTCCATCTGCGGCACGCCCGAGTACATGGCGCCGGACGTCATCGCGCGGAAGCCGTCGGGCTACGGCTCCGCGGTCGACTGGTGGGGCCTGGGCATCTGCGCCTACGAGCTCCTCACGGGGCTGCCGCCCTGGTACACGGCGGACCGGCGCGAGCTCTTCGACCGCATCCGCCTCGCGCCGCTGCGCCTGCCGCCCCACGTGCCGCCGGACGCCGGCGCGGCCGTCGCGGGGCTCCTGCGGCGCCACCCGCTCCGGCGGCTCTGCGTCGCGGACGGCGCGGACGCGCTCCGGCGCCTCGACTTCTTCAAACACCTCGACTTCGACGCGCTGGCCCTCGGCGCGGGGCAGCCGCCTATCCGCCCCTGCGCGAACCTCAAGCGCGCGGCGGAATTCTCGAACTTCGACGCGCGCTTCACGGCGCTGCCCGTCGAGACGCCGCCCGACGACGCCAAGTCGCCGGACAGCCCCGCGGGCTACGCGGGCGGGCTCGACGCGTTCAAGGACGACTGGGTCTTCGCGCGGTCCTAAGATTGGTGGGTGTTACGACGTCTCGGGCCGTCGTATTCGTGGGAGCGCGCGCCGCCGCCGCGCAAGCTGGTGATTTTGAGCGATTTTGCCAGGATTGATCGAGTGCTGTACAGCCGTAGTCGACCTTGTGGCGACGCCCCCGCACAAGGACGCGCCCCGAGTCATGTCGTGGCAGGAGAAGAAGTTGGAGTATGAGACTCGCATGGCCCGAGCGAGGGGCAAAAAACTCGACACCCTAAAGACCTGCACGATCTGCGGCGCCGACAAGGCCAAGGCTTGTCTAGGTTGCGGCACGACGGCATACTGTTCGACGGACTGCCAACGCATCGACTGGCGCGACCGGGGGCACCGGAAGGTCTGCAAGAAGATCCAGGCCGAGGCCGAGGCGCCGACGCCCCCGCCGTCGCCGCCGCGGGACGTGTTCTACGGCCCCGCGCCTCGGTCGCACGCCGACGAGGTCCGCGCGCGCATCGCGGCGGAACACGAGGCCGCTCGTGCCCGGCGCGAGGCGAACCCGGAGCGGGAGCCGCTCTCGGCGCGGTACGGGTCGCGGTGCCCGATCTGCCTCGAGGAGTGGGACGTGAATGCGAGGACGGACGTGTTTCGCGTCTGTTGCTGCCGAAAGGTCTGCCGATCGTGCAATAAAAAGATCGAAACCGCGTGTCCCGTCTGTCGCATACCGCGCGCAGAAGACCATGCGGAACACCTCGCACGTCTTCGCCGCCATGTGGAGAACGAGGTGCCGGAAGCGATTACGTGTTTGGGAACTGCGTACCGCGAAGGTTGGTACGGCCTCGTGAAGTCGGAGAAGAAGGCCGCGAAAATTTTCAAGCGCGCCGTGGAGCTCGGGGAAGTGGACGCGATGACCAACCTTGGGGCCGCGTACTATAACGGGGAAGGCGTCAAGCAGGACTGGAAAAAGGCGAAGCGGCTGCATCGAATGGCCGCAGACCGCGGTTGCGCAACGGGACAGTGCAACGTCGGTGAAATTTGCGAGGTCAAAGAAGGGGACATCAGCGAAGCGCGAAAATGGTACGCGCTTTCGGCCGCCCAGGGTTTCAAGCACGCCTTCTCCGCTCTCGCGCGCCTCGACGCCGTGCCGCCGACGACGGCCTCGACATAGCCCACATAGCATCCCCCAGTCTATAGAACGAAAGATAGGCAGGCCGAGTGGCATTTTTTGTTGCGACGTCTCCCAAGGGCCGCCACGAGTGTTCGGCCTCGGTACCCCGACGGGTCCCGACGAGTCGGCGATCACGACATTTAGTTGCGATTCAAGTTTGAGCGATTTTGCCAGCGAGTCGACCCATCAGTAGTCGACTTTGTGGCGACGCCCCCGCGCAAGGACGCGCCCCGAGTCATGTCGTGGCAGGAGAAGAAGTTGGAGTATGAGAATCGCATGGCCCGAGCGAGGGGCAAAAAACTCGACACTCTCAAGACCTGCACGATCTGCGGCGCCGACAAGGCCAAGGCTTGTCTAGGTTGCGGCACGACGGCCTACTGTTCGACGGACTGCCAACGCATCGACTGGCGCGACCGGGGCCACCGAAAGGTCTGCAAGAAGATCCAGGCCGAGGCCGAGGCGCCGACGCCCCCGCCGTCGCCGCCGCGGGACGTGTTCTACGGCCCCGCGCCTCGGTCGCGCGCCGACGAGGTCCGCGCGCGCATCGCGGCGGAGCACGAGGCCGCTCGTGCCCGGCGCGAGGCGGACCCGGAGCGGGAGCCGCTGTCGGCGCGGTTTGGGTCGCGGTGCCCGATCTGCATGGAGGAGTGGGACGTGAATGCTCCGGGCGTGCATCGCGTCTGCTGCTGCCGAAAGGTCTGCAAGTCGTGCGAGGATAAGATCGAAACCGCGTGTCCCCTCTGTCGTATACCGTGCGCGAAGACCCATGCGGAAGAACTCGCGCGGCTTCGCCGCCATGTGGAGAACGAGGTGCCGGAAGCAATTTCGTTTTTGGGATGTGCGTACCGCCGCGGTTACTTCGGCCTCGTGAAATCCGATAAGAAAGCCGCGAAGATTTGGAAGCGCGCCGTGGAGCTCGGGGACGTGGAGGCGATGGTACAACTTGGGGCCGCGTACTATTTAGGGCGAGGCGTCAAATTGGACTGGAAAAAGGCGAAGCGGCTGCATCGAATGGCCGCAGACCGCGGTTCCGCAGTTGGACAGAAAAACGTCGGTGAAATTTGCGAGGTCAAAGAAGGGGACATCAGCGAAGCGCGAAAATGGTACGCCCTTTCGGCCGCCCAGGGCTACAAGAATGCCATCTCCGCTCTCGCGCGCCTCGGCGCCGTGCCGCCGACGGCCTCGACACAGCCCACATAGCATCCCCAGGGTAGAGAACGAAAGATAGGCAGACCGAGTGGTATTTTTTGTTGCGACGTCTCCCAAGGGCCGTCACGAGTGTTCGGCCTCGGTACCCCGACGGGTCCTCGACGAGTCGGCGATCACGAGGTCACGACATTAAGTTCTCGATTTGAGCGATTTTGCTTAGCCGCGGCGCAGGGAAGAACCGAAGGGGGAGAGAACAGCGAAGGGGGGCGTAGGGAAGCGTCACGGGAGGACACGACTAGGGCGGAGGCGTACGCGAGCACGGCGACGAAGAGGGCACGACGACGTAGGGCGGCTACGATTTTGCCTTGACGCGTCTCTAAACGTAGGGGGCCCGGGGAGGAACCGCGGGAGTCGGAGTTTTCAGAGGCTCGGCCTCAGGCTCAGCCGGAGCTTTCCTGGAGCCCCGGGAAGAGGCAGCCGAGGGAGAGTTTGGGTTGGATGGTCTTCACGCAGTTCCAGAAGTCGAGGACCTACGATTTTGCCATTGCGAGTCTTTCGACCCGATCGAGTGTAGTCGACTTTGTGGCGACGCCCCCGCGCAAGGACGCGCCCCGAGTCATGTCGTGGCAGGAGAAGAAGTTGGAGTATGAGAATCGCATGGCCCGAGCGAAGGGCAAAAAACTCGACACCCTAATGACCTGCACGATCTGCGGCGCCGACAAGGCCAAGGCTTGTCTAGGTTGCGGCACGACGGCCTACTGTTCGACGGACTGCCAACGCATCGACTGGCGCGACCGGGGCCACCGAAAGGTGTGCAAGAAGATCCAGGCCGAGGCCGAGGCGCCGACGCCCCCGCCGTCGCCGCCGCGGGACGTGTTCTACGGCCCCGCGCCTCGGTCGCACGCCGACGAGGTCCGCGCGCGCATCGCGGCGGAGCACGAGGCCGCTCGTGCCCGGCGCGAGGCGGACCCGGAGCGGGAGCCGCTGTCGGCGCGGTTTGGGTCGCGGTGCCCGATCTGCATGGAGGAGTGGGACGTGAATGCGAATAACGCGATTCGCGTCTGTTGCTGCCGGAGGGTCTGCGAATCGTGCGAGGCCAAGATCGGCCTCGACGCGTGTCCCCTCTGTCGTGTACCACCCGCAGAAAACGATGCGGAAGACCTCGCGCGTCTTCGGCGCCATGTGGAGAACGAGGTGCCGGAAGCGATTGCGTTTTTGGGAAGGGCGTACCGCCACGGTGACTTCGGCCTTGTGAAATCCGATAAGAAAGCCGCAAAGATTTTCAAGCGCGCCGTGGAGCTCGGGGACGTGGACGCGATGGTGAGCCTTGGGGCCGCGTACTATCTAGGGCAAGGCGTCAAGCTGGACTGGAAAAAGGCGAAGCGGCTGCATCGAATGGCCGCAAACCGCGGTTCCGCAATGGCACAGTGCAACGTCGGTGAAATTTGCGAGGTTAAAGAAGGGGACATCAGCGAAGCACGAAAATGGTACGCCCTTTCGGCCGCCCAGGGCTTCAAGCACGCCTTCTCCGCTCTCGCGCGCCTCGACGCCGCGCCGCCGACGGCCTCGACACAGCCCACATAGCATCCCCACCAATAGAGAACGGAAGGTAGGCAGACCGAGTGGTATATTCGGGACGTCGGACCCTCTCAAGCAGGCAGGCCGCGTGGTCGCGGGGGGACTCGTCTTGTTCCGGCGTTTTGTCTTTTGGGGGTGCGAGCGAAGCGGTGAGAGGCGGGCGAACGGAATGCGTGTGGTCGTCGTTCGTCCGTGTGGCTTCTAGCGCGCGCGAGTCGTGTGTTTCCCGGCAAGGCGCCGTCGTCCCCGCCAATCCTCGTTCCCGTTTCCGGACTTGAGGGATCGGGCGGTGGAGTCATGTGCGCGGCCTTGCGGGTTCTTGGGGGCGACGAGGTCGTCGTCGCCGTCGGCGGCGGCGCGGGCCCGGGTGAAGGGCCCGGCCGCCGCTTGAGGCCCTCAGGCCTCGGCGGCCGGCGGCGCGCCGCCGGACGTCGGCTCGTCGTCCGCGGCGCGGCCGCCGACGGCGAGGCTCATCTCCTCGGCCGCCGACGGCGGGTTCGGCGGCTTGACCATCTCGACGTCGTCCTCGGACGGCTCGTCGGCGACGAGCAACGCCTTCTGCGCGGGCTCGAACTCGTCGCCCTCGTCGACGAACCAGCACCAGTCGAACGTGAACAGGAACCACGCGCCGAGGGAGATGCAGGCGCCCAGGATGTTGATGCCGAGGTAGGTGCGGTAGACGCCCTCGCCGACGTTGAGGTAGGAGAAGTCGATGTTCTTCGCGATGCCCGGGTACTTCAGCTCCTTGTGCTTGTCCTTGGCCGTCGAGAGCCGGAAGCAGATGCCGAGCGCCGCGCAGGTGAGCACGGGCACGAGGAAGGCGAGGGGGCGCGTGCCCTTCCACTCGAGCTGCTTCGGGAGGAGCGCGAGCATGTAGATGGGCGCGCCGAGGCCCATGACGATCGTGCCCGCGACCGTCGTCGCGTCGAGCTCCGCGGGGTTGTCGAGGAGGGGCAGCGTGCCGACGACGGCGACGAGCACCATGGCCGCGCGGCCGATGTTCACGTGGTCCTTGGTCGCGTCGGCGAGGGGCATGGGCTTGCCCGTCGTGAGGAAGCCGTGGACGTCGGGCCCGACCAATTTCGCGACGGACGTGAACGTCGAGTCGAGCGTCGAGATGCCCGACGTGACCATGATGATGTTGATGAAGGAGAAGAGCACGGTGCCCAGCGTCTGGGCGACGGCGTGGGGCGCGCCGGCCGTGACCTGGGCGACGTCCGCGCCGCGGAGGTCGCTGGAGTCGCAGTAGCCCGCGGACACGCACTTGCCGAGCATGGAGCCGTGGACGCCGATGATGGAGAAGAGCGTGATGAACCAGGCGGCGGCGAAGCCGCCGACCGTGAAGCAGCGCGCCATGGTCTTGGGGTCCGCGAGGAAGCAGCGGTCCGTGAGCACGGGGTCGAAGAACGCGTAGGAGAAGCCGCCCTGCACGGCGCCGAGCGCGAACATGTCCATGCCGCCCTTGAGCGACAGCGGGCTCAGCTCCGGCTTGGGCACCCACTGGAAGAGGCCCCAGTGGCTGTAGGACTTGGCGAACTTGCGCAGGTCGTCGTTGCTCGCCCGCTCGTACTGGATCGCGACGAGGACGACGGCGAGCGTGACGACGGCGAGGAAGGCCTGGGCCGAGTCCGACAGCAGCGACGAGCGCATGCCCCCGGCGAAGACGTAGCAGAGGGGCAGGGCCGTCGCGATGATCGCCGCGGCCCACCAGGGGTCCGACGCGTCGACCGTCTCCGTCGTGCCGTCGTCGAGCTTGTAGTTCTTCGTCTCGCGGCCGTAGAAATCCGCGATGACGCGCGAGTTCGACCAGACCTCGTTGTAGAGGCGGTAGAGCACGCAGCAGGCGAAGACGAGCACGGCGCAGGTGCCGTACTTGGCGTGGATGGCGCCGGGCAGCGACTTGTAGCCCTTGCGGCGGAGCTGGTAGCACGCGACGGCCGCGGACGGGAAGGCGAGGTACCAGGCGGCGTAGCCGAAGCCGCCGCAGATGCCGTAGGAGCCGCCCTTCTTCGACGCGTTCGTGATGGACTTGGCGAAGATCCAGGAGATGAACGCGGACGAGCCGACGAGCGCGCTCGACTGCGTGTCCGTCGCGTCGTCCGCGATGCCGCCCCGGAAGAAGAGCTTGCTGTCCATGGTGATGGGCGTGAGGCCGCAGAGGATGAGGAAGTAGAGCGACAGCCAGTGCCACTGGAGCTCCTCGCGGCGGCTGCTCGTGTCGATGCCGAAGACGATGACGAGCTCGAAGACGACGAAGAGCAGCGCCACGACGACGAACTGGGGGCTCTTCACCTGCTTGAGCATCTCGTCCTTGAGCTCCGCCTTGGCGGACTTCTCGTCGCTCATCCTCACGTGTTCGATGCGGAACGGCGACAGCTGCGGCGATTGGCTGTGTTGATCGCGCGGGCGGCCTTCCACAAAATCTGGACGCACGCGTCTTCTAGGCAAACATCGCATCCTTGAAGTTAGCTCTTTGTGTTGCAGGCCATCATCGGCCATGCATGCTGATTGGCGACTGCCACAAGCTCCTGAGGTCTTGTTGCGCAGAGCCTGACTCCATCGACAGTCCGAAGACACACGCTCATGGGCGGCTACGACCGGCTCGCCGTCGCGCGCATCTTCTTCTTCCCGGCCCTCGGCGGCCTGCTCTTCGGCTACGACATCGGCGCCACGTCCTACGTGCTCACGCAGCTCCAGTCCGCCAAGTTCAGCGGCGTGTCCTGGTACGACCTCGTCGCCCGGTCGTCGGCGCTCCAGGGCCTCGTGACGTCCGGGGGCGTCGGCGGCGCCTTCGTCGGCGCGTCGATCGTCTTCAAGGTCGCCGACGACCTCGGGCGGCGCCGCGAGCTGCTGCTGGGCGCGGCGCTCTACGTCCTCGGCGCCGCGTGCGAGTTCCTCGGCGGCGGCGTCGGGCCCTACGAGTCCGGCGCGGGCGACGGCCTCTTCCTCCTCGTTTTAGGCCGCTTCGTCTACGGCGTGGGCTGCGGCTTCGTCATGCACGGCGCGCCGAGCTACATCGCGGAGATGTCGCCCGCGGCGATCCGCGGCACGCTCGTGTCGCTCAAGGAGGCGGCCATCGTCGTCGGCATCTGCCTCGGCTACGGCCTCGGCTTCGCGCTGCGGGAGACGGCCGGCGGCTGGCGCTACACCTACGCGGCGTCCATACCCCTCGCGCTGCTCCTCTACTGGGGCGCCTATTGCCTGCCGCCGTCGGCGCGCTGGCTGTCCTTGAAGGGCGACGCGGCGGGCGCGCGCGCGTCGCTGACCTTCGTCTACCCGAACGACGACGCGCTCCTGGAGGCGGCCGTCGCGGAGCTCGACGACGGCGGCGGCGGCGGCGACGACGGCGCGCGCGGCGAGCCCCGGTCGCTGCTGGACGCCAAGTACCGGCGCGCGCTGACGGCGGGCCTGGGCGTCGTGCTGCTGCAGCAGCTCACGGGCCAGCCCTCCGTGCTCTACTACGCGTCGACGATCTTCGACGCCGCGGGCATCGGCACGGTAGCGACGGTCTTCGTGGGCGTCTTCAAGCTCTTCGCGACGCTGTTCGCGGTCGTCACCGTGGACCGGCGCGGCCGGCGCGAGCTGCTCTTCGTCGGCGTGGGCTCCATGTTTCTGGCGCTCGCGGCGCTGGCCCTCGCGTTCTACGACTTCGACCCGTCGGGCGGCTTCTCGGCGCAGAAGGGCGCCATCGTCGGCCTCATCTTCGTCTACATCGCGGGCTACCAGGTCGGCTTCGGCCCCATCGCCTGGCTGCTCATCTCCGAGGTGTTCCCCCTCGAGGTCCGCGGCCAGGCCGTCGCGCTCGCCGTCCAGGCGAACTTCGCGAGCAACATGCTCGTGTCCTTCCTGTTCCCCGTGGCGCAGACGGGGCTCAAGGCCCTCCTCGGGAGCACGTGGTACCTCACGGTCCTCTTCGGCATCTTCGCCGTGCTCGACCTCTACGCGCTCCACTTCATCAACCGCAACGTGCCCGAGACCAAGGGCATGACCCTCGAGGAGATCGAGCGGTTCCTCGCGGGCTCGAAGCCCAATTCGCGCGGCGCGGACCTGTCCTCCGTCGAGAGCCCCCTCATCAACTAATTTTGGAACTCGAAACCGACCTGCCATTCGCGCTTCAAGGTGCGATGTTGTAGTGGGTTGCTGTTTTGATTGAACTTCTTTCTCGAGCGCCCGCATGAGGAGAGAGCACTGATTGCCACTGCTGCCAATGACTCGCTGCGCCGCGCTGCTCGCGCTCGCCGCGCGCTGCGCCGCGCTCAGCTCCGAAGGCTTCGCCATCTCGGAGGGCGCCAAGCTCTGGTACGGCTGGTCCAAAGCGCCGACGGCCCAGCCGCCGCTCGTCGTCTGCCACGGCGGTCCCCAGGTGCCCAGCGACTACCTCTTCCCATTGGAAGCCCTGGACCGGCCGGTGCTCTTCTGGGACCAGCTGGGCTGCGGCCGCAGCGACCGGCCCGAAGCCGGCGACCAGCGCTACGGCTGCGTCGGCGCGGTCCACGACCTGCGCAACGTATTGAAGGCCAACGACTTGGACGACTACCACCTCTACGGCCAGTCCTGGGGCGGCCTGCTCGCCTTCCTCCACTGCGTCGCCGACGGCGCGCCGCGGTCGCTGACGCTGTCGAACGCGCCGGCGTCCGTGCCCGTCGTCGAGGCCGAGGCGGCGCGGCTCGCGGAGGCCTGCGGCGGCGTCGAGGCGTTCCTGGACACCCACAACTACCGCGGCGGCGCCGCCGGCCGGGAGCACATCGACGCGGCCTACGCGCGCGCGGGCGACGCGTGGCGCGGCACCGCGGCGATCCGGGGCCTCGAGGCGAAGACGTTCTCGGCCGTGCGGTGCCCGACGTACGTGCTCCGCGGCGAGCACGACTTCGTCACCGAACCCTGCGTCGACCCCTGGCGTAATATCGCCGACGTCCGCGTCGACGAGCTCCCGGGCCGGTCGCACCACGCGCTCCTCGAGGACGGCGACGACTACGTCGCGCGGCTCGCCGCGTTCCTCGACGCGCATGAGTAAGCTTCGTATGGACATTAAAGTATGTGCAGGGTATGTGCATGTCCGATGGGTCGTCGCGCTTCTAGTTTTTGGCGTCCGCGGCCGGGACGTCGAGGGCCGCGACCTTGGCCGTCTTCAGCTCCGCGGCCGTCGGCGCGAGCGCGTCGACGAGGGCGCCCGCGCCGTGGAGCCCCGCGACGGCGCGCAGGTCGTAGCCCGTCGCCGCGTAGGCCGCCGCCGCCGCGGCGCCGCTGAGCACCGCGGAGCCGACGGCGCCGTCGGCCTTGCGCTCCCGCGACGCGTCGTCGATCTCGACCTCGACGGACGACGTGTCGTGGAAGTGGAGCAGCCAGGAGTCGGCGACGCGCTCGAAGGCGTCGGCCTCGCGGACCGCGCGCTCCGCGGATTGGAAGGCGACCTTGACGACGGCCGGGCCGTCGCGCGCCGGGTCGAGGCTCTCCGCGCGCTCCTCGAGCTTGCGCACGCGCAGCTGGTCCGTCTCGAGCTCGTTCGCGATGGCGTTGAGTTCGTCGCGGTCCGTCGCCGGCGCGCGCACCCAGTTCCACGTCGCGGCCTCGCCTACCAAGCACGACGGTGACGATTTCTCGTTGTTTTCCCACCCCGAATCTCTCAAAGGTCGTCACGGCCACGGGACGCTGGGCCTCGCCGAGCCCCGAGAGCGCGCCGACGGCGAGGATGGAGCCCGCGACGCCCGCGGCCGCGGCGGACGCGCCGAAGTCGCCGATGACGCCGTCGAGCCCCGCCATCGCGAAGAGGTCGTACTCGAGCTTCTGCTGCGCGTACTGGTGGAGGAAGGCCGCCCGCGGTAACGCCGACGCGGCGACGAGCGCGGCGGCGACGAGGCGGTAGGGCAGGCCCAGCTCCGCGCGCGTCGCCGCGGACGCCGGCGCGACGGCGCCGAACGCGTCGTCGGCGATCGCTCTTTCGGCGGCGCCGACGGCCAGGGACCCGGACGAGCCCGCCCAGGCCGCCTTCTGGAGCCAGGCGGCGACGAGGAAGACGCCCGCGGAGGCGCCGAGCGCGAGCCGCGCCTCGTCCGTCGCGGGGAGCAGCGCGGACGTCGGCTCGACGAAGGCGTCGCCGAGCACGGGCGTCGATTCGGCCCAGGCGTCCCAGACCTTGGTCTGGAGGGCGAGCCAGATGAGCGGGAACGCGGGCTCGCGCGCCCAGCGCAGCGCGCCGCCCCAGACGTTCTCGGGCGCCTCCATGAGCGTCTGCGTGAGCAGAAAGTCCAAGCGGTTCACCGCGGCCATGTCCCAGTCCTCGACGGCCGACACCTTCAACGTGCGCTTCCGCGAGAGGATCTCCACCGTGCGCGCCGTGCGGCGCGCGGCGCCGCGGCTCCAGCGGCCCGTGTCCGCGTCGTACGCGAAGCCGAGGCGCCGGAGCGGTTCCTGGCTGGCTAAACTCTCCGACGCCGCGCGGTCCTCGACGGCCGGCGGCGGCTTGCGGGCGAACTTGGCCTTGCGGCGGAAGGGCTCGACGAGCACCTGCTCGTCGTCGAACTCCGCGGCGGCGGCCGTGAACCACAGCTCCTCCGTGTACGCGTCGACGTCGTCGCTCCGGCCGAACCGCGGCTCGTCGGGCGACGGGCCGCGGCGCTTCGCGCCGTGGGTCCACGTGCGCTTCTCCGCGTCGTAGGCGTAGCCCAGGGCCTCCATCTTCGCGACCTGGTCCTCGTCGAGCTGGGCCGGCGCGCGCATGCGGTCCGCCGCCGCCGCGCGGAGCCGCGCCGCCGTCGCCTTCCGCTCCGCGTCCTCCTTCAAAGCGCCGGCGTCGACGGTCGGCAGGGCGCTCTTGAACTGCTTGGCGGCGTTGCCCAGGAAGTCCTTGACCTCTTTCGTCTGCGAGGGGGGGAGTGGGTGAGTTTGTGTGCGCGCGCAGCGGCCAACGGTTGTTTTGCCAGCTGGCGCATAAAATTCGAACGCTGGCGCGGACCTGCTGCGGCGTGGGCGGCTTGAACGCGCACGCGGCGCTCGCGAGGAGTGGTATGGCCAGTGAGCAGCGCATTCTGCAATTCTTCGGCAGTACACTAAGCAGATGGACGCGACCGGCGCAGCCGATTTTGGAGCCGCCGCTCGAAGTTTGCAACGCCTCAACTGCCTCGACGTTGGACGTATGATGAACCGGTAGCAGCCCGCTCACTAATGGTGCACGACGGCCTTCATCTCTGAGTATTGAAAGGCACAAACCATGGCGTTCAATGCCGCTGTCATCTCGGAGCGCCGACCCACGTCCCAGCGCGACCGGGCCCTCGAGGAGCTGGATGCGCTCCTCAAGGGCCCGAAGGACCGCGACGGCGCTTTGACACATCTCAAGGAGGTCACGAACAGCTTCATCGAAAAGGCCGCGAAGAAGGCGGGCTGCCGCGCGGCGCTCGCGCCGCCGTCGCCGACGCCGGGCTACGTGGCGCCCCCCGCCGCCGCGCCGTCGCCGCCGCCGCGGCCGCCGGCGCCGGTGATCCCGTCGACGCGCGAGCTGCTCGCGGGCGCGGACGCGAAGGAGCGGCTCCGCCGCGTGCGCGCGCTCCGGGAAGCGCGGGAGGCCACCGCCGGCGGCGGGCGACCGACCCCGAAGCGCGCGCCGTCGCCGGAGCCGCCGGCGTACCCCGCGGCCGAGTACTCGGAGAGCGCGTCCGCCTTCTCCGCGGACTCGGACGACGACGACTCGAGCGCCTCGGAGCTCGCCTCGGACGGCCGGGACGGCGCGCTCCGGGCCGTCTTCCGCCGGTCCCGGGGCCCGCGGAACACGGGGGACCCCTTCGCCGGCGCCGTCGCCGCCGCCCTCGAGGCCGACGCCGCCGCAACGGACGCGTGGGGCCCGCGCGCCGTCGCGCTCGCGTCCGGCTTCCTCAAGACGCTCGGCGAGGACCGGTGCGACTACGACACGCTCCGCGAGATCGTCGAGAAGAGCGCCGGGGCGGCGCGGTAAGAGTTTAGGGCTCCCGGCGGAAGTGTGGGTGGGGGCGCGCGCGCGTGGTGGGGAGCTCCGCCGTCCTCTTGGGGGGGAGGGGGGGCGCGCATCGCCTCGCTGGGGGAGGCCGTCTTCTTGGCCGCCGCTTTTACCGCGGGGCGGCCAGGCCCGTCTCTTTTGCTTTTGCTTAGGCCATCTCGGTCCCCGTCGGGCCTTCGAGGTCAGCGCCCTTCTCCACGAGCGCAGGTGCCTTGAACGCAGCGCCGCACATGCCGATGCCCATGACGACGGTAGAGACGCCGACGAAGAACTCTAGACCGCATCCGGCCGTGCAAGGTTTGTTTTCCTCCATGTGGTGTGCTGCGAGAGAATCATCATCATCGACGGTCTGTTTGTTCTTCCAGTAGGCCGCTCCCGCAACACCAAAGATGCCCAAGACTCCCAGCAAACAGCCGCCTGCAATTTCGACGCCTTTGACGCGCTTCCCCGTGAAACCGAGAAAGAAATAGAAACCGGCGAGGAAGAATAAGAACAAGGTCTGAAGAATTGTCGACGCGCGATTGACGTGAAAATATCTAAGTGAGGAGAATGCAATGGAAATGCTGACTCATCCGTTCAATTGAACTTCAACATCGCGCACCGAGCGTAGCGAGGAGGAGCGGAGCGACCCCGAGGAGCGAAGCGACGAGGAGTGTGATAGGGAAAA